TATGTCATGAAAATGGAAAATAAAAAAATAGTATATTTTAAATAAGAAAGGATACATGCAACTTTTATTGAGAAGGATAAAAAAAAAGTTAAAGAGAAGTTATTTACCTTAACCTTTTCATAAATGATTTTCAAGAAACATTAACAGAAATACAGATATGGAAGTCTATGTCTTGTAATCAGATTCTCTGTTTCTAAGTGATAGATGCCTTCAATTTTATAAGACATAGATTTTCTTCAAGACAATGTTAAATGAATCTATAATGTAACAAGTGGGTGTTATAAGAGGGTATTTATTTATTTATTTATTAAATTTATAGGCCGCCCAACCCAGAGGTAGAATGTAGCTGGCTAAAAACCTAAAACTCAGTAGAAAGAGGAACACAGAAATTATACAGATAGCTGGCAAAGAGCTGATTAAGTGAAGTGAGAGAATATTTCATCTTCAGAATACTGCACTAATTTCAAGATATGTCAATTGAACTGTATTCTCAAGAACTATTTTCTCAAGAATCATAGCTTACCAACATTCAATTAACCGTGATCTTTTGCATGTTTAGTTATTTTTGATATATTCTTAATAAAGCCCATGTATTTACCAATAAAGTCACCTCCTGGCAAGAAGGGGAAAAAACAAGATTGATTAATTAATTAATTGATTGATTGATTAAATACATTTTTCTTGTTTAGGATAAAGAATTTAGGATAAGCGCATACAGCAATTTATTTCTCTCTTTGAAAGTTAGAATATCTTTAGAACATGAATTATTGCTTATATTTTCAAATGAAAATAAATATTAAACATCTCATATGAAATGAAATGCAAGAACACCTGAAATTCATTTGTTTACTTACCTTGTCCAGAATGACTCTGACAATAATCTATGCTTGCCTGCCTTCGATCTTGTGGCTCCTCGCTTCCTCCATCTACATGAGAACCAAAACAACACAAGAGAGATTAGGCAAATACAATTTCTCTTCCATTATGTGCTTAAGTGTGATGTTATGTAGTCACCATAACCTCACTGAAAGCTGGCAGTGAAGATCACAAATGGCAATCACGTGACTAGAGGGATGCTGTGACCAGTCATAAGTACCACTCCTTCAGTACTGTTGTTAAGTTTGAACAATTATTGAATGCAGGGACGTGCAGTCACTAGAGGCAGGGGAGGCGGGGCCTCAACAGTCTCCTNTGGGTTTCTGTCTGGATGGTCTCTTGTGACGAGCCGATGGACAGAGAATGGAAGTAGTGAACTTCCTCCCATATTTGGGCATACCAGGGGTTGTGTGTGTGTGTGTGTGTTTTGTATTTGTGCTGATATATATATATATCTTAGCCTTTGTCTATAGCTTCCTTCTTTGTTGTGACATTTCTAACATTTATTGTTGTATGGTTGTTTTGTTGTTAGCATGTATATGAAATTACTTTCTCCAGTATCAAAAAAAATGATTTTTCAATTACAAGAATGTGTTAGAGTTAGTTAGAAGGCATTTGGGGGGGGGGGGGTTGTAAGTGATTAACATCTTGTCAATTTCAGGCAGCCAGCAAACAAGTCAAAGGGTACTAATTACTTACACTTAACGTGACCTTGATACTACCCTCTGTTGATGCACCATAGAACAAATTTGCTTTTTTGGCAACTGTAGTGCACTACCGGCTCATATTTAAATGGTTGTCCAGCAGGATTCCTAGATCCCTCTCATAGTTACTGCTTTGAGTTAGGTACCATCTATTGTGTTCCTGGTCCCAAATCCCTAGAGAGCCAAAGCTCCTCTTCAACTTATTTGGTTTACGTCTAGACAAATGCCCATTGCATAAAACACTAGAAGGTTAGGAATACCTATTGGTAACAATTTTTTCTTTGGTGGTAATAGGAGAGGAAAGAAATCTGTAAAGGAGAACTTCCTGGAATCTAGAAGAATGGGCACAACTTCATACCTGAGCATCCAAGGCTGCCTATGAGATACACCACATATTTTATGTGGAATATCTGGAAGTCCAGTTGGACAATTCATGTCCAGTTGACTCCATGCATTCTATATTTTGTATCCAGAGGCATAAACAGGAGAGGAGAATATTAGAGATTCCAGAATATAAAGAAATCAAAGTATGAGCTCTCCCATTTCTGGCTATTAATGCTACATAAGTATTCAGAACCTCAATAATATACCTCTGCAAATTATACTTTCCCCTTGGAATTAAGGCACATGCGGGCAAAAGATTAAAAACAGCAATGTTGATGAAATAAGACAACCAAGTATAAGAATGATGGGAAAAAAGTAAAATCTCTTATCCAGAGAATTATAATAGCTAATCTTCAATTATTGATCAGATGATGTGAACCATTCCAGAATTTGTAAAAACACACCAGTCCATGACTGAGCCAAGAGAATTATTATTTTTTAGCTTTTCTAGCTATATTGAAGGAAAAAAATTCTTCAGAATCAACTTAAGTCAGCAAATAATATTCCTACCTCATATCTAATACCTTCCAGTTCTATCTTTTTCTCTTCTTTTTTCTTCTTCAAATTCAAAACAACAAAAGGTTGCTAACTGTCCTTGTGTTCCGGTATGCAGTGCCCTGTAGCGTCATTTTGAGGGCAGGAGTTGAAACAATTTATGTCCAGGATGTGAGGGGCCTGTAGTTATTTTCACAGCCCTCTTTTTGATTCTTGCAGTATACAGGTCCTCAATGGAAGGCAGGTTGGTAGCAATTGTCTTTTCTGCATATCTAATTATCCGTTGAAGTCTGTCTGTCTTGTTCAGTTGCAGAGCTAAACCAGATAGTTATGGAGGTGCAGATGACAGACTCAATAATTCCTCTGTAGAACTGAAGCAGCAGCTCTTTGGGCAGTTTGAGCTTTCTGAGTTGGCACAGAAAGAACATTCTTTGTTGTGCTTTTTTGATGGCGTTTTTGATGTTAGGTGTCCATTTTACGTCTTGAAATATGATGGAACCTAGAAACTTGAAGGTNGCTTAGAGAGGGCTGAAAGCCCTATGAAGCGGTATATAAGTCTAACTGCTATTGCTAATAAATTAGATCTATTACATTTTCTTTCACTGCTTCTCTGACATAAAAGAAATATTTTATGTCAACATGTTTGCTTCTGATTTTTAACTCTCACCTATTTCCATTTGTACATATGCTGTGCTATCTTCAAACACATGGATAGCTCCCTTCACCTCAATATTCAAATCCTTCAATAATTGTACATTTTTCTTTTTTAGCTTAGATATACCCTCCTTTTTGTAGTTTCTTTATTTCTATTCCTACATAGTTCTTTATTTCTCTTAGAATCTTTGCATTTCTTTTGTTCAGCCATAGGTAAACCAGAGTTTGCACCAGTTCAGGCAAATTAGTAGTGGCAATTGCGACTGGGTTGTGAAACCAGTAGGGACGGCAGGCTTGCCATGCCTCCGAACCGTTTCCCCGGTTCACTGCAGTATGTATTTTTAACATTTTTAGTGTTCTGCACATGTGCAGACCTATTTACAGGCAACTGTGCACTCACAGGGAGTGTCAGTCGCGCGCACGTGCTTCGCTCACGCATGCACGCAAATCACACGTGCACCGGACCGGCAGTAATGCCAGCAGAAACCCATCCCTGAGGCAAACCCAATACCACCTGGCAATTTCAAGGTCAACAAAAATGACACATACTTTCACCGCATCTGTTGTGAATCTTCTTGTTTGCTCTTTCAGACTTATTTGCAACCCCCTTGTTTGCTCTTTCAGACTTCCTTGGAACAAACTGTTCCTGTTTCATAGGTATCCCACTTTCTAAGCATTTCTTTAAGCTATTCTCAGAACTTGAGCCACTTTCAGATCTTTGATCAATATATATACATGAATGCTCATCCACTAAAAGGCATTAAAATTTCAGGCATGCACCTTTTCCCAATTCTCAAGTTCTGAAAAATTTGTAAAATGTGTAATAATTACATTTTTGGGTCCATCTGTAAACCTATATGCCTTTGATCTTGATTATAGTGGCTTATAAATTTTAATTTCCTTGTCTTTAGCTGTCCTTTCTTTCTAACAGTTTTGGGAATTGCACCCATGCATTGCCAATGGTTCTTAAATATGTCAAAGATGGTTGTCTTCCAGACAACATGTTATATGAAGTTTGATTAATTGCTGAACTGCAAAGATCTATTGTCCAAATAATTGGCAGTTAAGATTGCCTCATGCCAATACAGTTTACCCATTCTTGCGTCTGCTAGTAACACATCTTTCATATTTTGTACTACACCATTCCTGTGCTCATCAACTCCATTCTCTGCCAGAGTGTTGTGGTTGGTTTTTCTAAGTTTTATGTCTTACTTTCTCAGCCATTGCTGCAACATATTAGACATGAACTCTGATCCTCTATCTATTTGTAGTTGACTTACATGTTGATTATACCTGCTTTCTACAAACATTACCCATTGTTTTAATTGTTGAAACACGTTTTGCTTTTTAGCAAATAACAAAACCCATATCATGAGAAACCATCAACAATTTCCAAAGCAAATTTGTCCCCTCCCATGGGGCCCTCTATCCCCCATGGGGATAGAGGGCCAATTAAATCAGCATGCACATAATGAAAATTTGTTTCATATTTTTTATTATTTCTTTTGTTGATAAAGTATATTTTTGATTTGGCCTCTTTGTAAATAGCACAATCCAAAAATTTGTCACAATCTTTTACATTTAAACTACAGCTAGGTCAGGCATTTTCTGCCATACTTTAAAGGTTGCACGACCCAACCTTCTGTGCAACAAATGTGCACACCCATTATGCTTTGGTTCATTAGAAAACATTGTCTCTGCGCTGCCACCAGTTTCTTTGTGGTTCAAAATATATAAATTGTTCAGTCTCAAACCTTATGCACCCACTGTTATTCTTTATGACCTTGCATGTACCCTTTGCAAAAATTACTTCATACACATTTAGCAAATTGTGATCTAAATCTGGTTCACATAAAACCTTATCAAACAATTTACAAATACATGATTCATATATTGTTCCTTTTCCTTGTACAGAAAAATAATTACTATTTGCCAGGCTTACAAATTTCTGGGCAACCTATCCCAGACAAGAAAATAGTTTTGTGTTATTTACAATATGTTCACTTGCCATACTGTCCCAACATCCACATGCCTTTGTTGTTTTTGTTATTTGCCTTCACTACAGAAAACTGTGTGTCTTCTTGCTTCTGTCTCTGTGCTTTGTCTCTCCTGCTTGAATCTTTTAATATTCTTACTGGACAATTTCTCCGGATATTTTGAGAAGATCCACATGCGAAGCAGCATTTTACAATTCAGACTTTCTCTCTCACCTTGTTAACTCACTGGAAAACAGTTTCATTCTGACTGGGCTGCAAATTATTATTGTTTCTTTCTAATCTTTTATGTTCTTCTTCCAAAAGTTTCCCAGTCAGATAACTCATGGTTAAATCACACTCATTCATGGACTCAAGGCTTATTACGAACACAATACAATATACACTTGTGTGCTTCTGAAAACACCATTCCTTGCACTTGTAACTCAAGGAAGATTTTCCTCATAAACTGGAAGTGCTCTGATACACTTTCTCCAGACTGTAGCTTTGCTCTATAAAATTTTCTGGCAAGAGTAACTTTGCTGCTTGCAGTTTCCTTGTATTCTGCATAAGGGCAGCCAGGATTCTCTAGCAGATGTAAGCCCACGCACATGTATTACCTGACTATCTTTCAAGCATAAAATTATGCTGGATACTGCTTTTTCAGTTTGTCTTTGCCCCTGCTTATTGAGATCTGCTGGAGGATTGCTTACAACTGTCCACAAATCCTTCCTCCACAGAAACATCTGCATGTTTAGGCTCCATGAGACATAATTTGTCTCATTAAGACAAGCAAAAGAAAATTCTCTCCCCATTCCTCTAACAGATAGCACCGTGCAG